AGGTGGGCTTGCAGGGCAAGCAAGTGAATTGCCCAGCGGAGGCGGGAGTGTGCTAGCGGACATCAGAGCTGTCCGGAAGCCTTCGGGGCTCTGTACTTAGGGAGGTGTAGGTAATATATTGAAAAGAGGGGGTGGTGACCATCAAGGGGAGCGGAGGTGATTGTGGAATATGGGAGCTCTGAGGTTAGTGAAGGAGTGGAGGTGGTCCGGAAGGATCGGAGGCAGTGGAAGTCGATGGCCATGGATGGATATGACACTAAATGTCACTGAATAAAAATAGAATAAATCAGCTGAAAGACACAGTGCAGCCATACATGCAGTAATTGTCATATCCATACAATCCCAACCTCCGCTCTACCTCCGCTCTGGGCTCCCGGAACTCTGAAACCGACTCCGGAGCCCTACTTCCCTTCTGTCACCTTCTCCTTGCCAACTCCCAAGAGGTTATCCCACCTCCGGCTCCGACACCACCTTTGGTCCGACTCTGGAACATTCCAGGTCCGACCTCAACCTCGACACCTCCCAGATGAGCACGCAACACCTATGCTCCCGACTCCGGACCTCCGCTCCGGAATCCCGGTTGCGTCTCCATCTCCAGAACCTCCGCTTATACCCATTGTATTGGTTAGCTCATTCCATTTAATTATGTTTGCCAATATCCCGGAGTTTAACTTCCAAGTTCAGACTTTCCGGACTTACCTCGGACCTTGCAACTATTGCATTGTCCTATTCAATTCCGCTATTCTCCCTCATTCCTATTTGGGCTGCTGCTTCCTTTCTATTCAGTCAGCCGGCCATTCCCCACTCCCTTCCTCCTTCCTTCCTCCTTGGGCCTTGGCCCTTCACTCCTCCTTTGGGAAACACCATTGAGTCAAACCCTTGACCCTCGGTGTTGTTCCTCCTTCCAGCTCCCTTTGTCTGCTTTCGGAGTACCCTTGCTCCTTTTGATTCCGGACCCCTCCTTATATACAATGTACATAGTAACTTGTAACCTCAGTCCAAAATCGACTTGAATTCCCCCAAGAGACTTCCCCTCTGCTAGATCTGAAATTAGGGACCCCTAGGACAACCAGCAATGGCACAGCGCTCCACATGAGTTGCTGAGGCCAAGGTCCTTCCACGCTAAGTCTCCGATTCCACTCCGGAGTTGTCCAAATCCACCCATTCTAACAGTAATGCATAGTCTGAATTCAGAATGACCAAGTCATAGTGAACTTAATGGTAAACAAGAAGAATTTGAAATAAAAAACTGCAACAAATGCATTAAAATAGTTTAGGCAAGGAAGGACAATAAGAGTTCTAGGTGCAGTCTGACCACAGCAGGGCTGCAGTTCAGCACAGCTGAGCGCAGTAGAACTATAGCGTGAAAAATTCATTTTTTATTCAGTTTGAGGAAAATACACTGTAAATAAATCCTGTAAATATGAGGTAGAGCATGAAAAAGGAAGGCAACCCAAGGAGTATAAAAGGGAGACCCTTTCTGTGACTTTACACCCCCTGTAGAGAAGTAAGATTCTCAAGCATTTCTGGTTATCACTCCAGTGTGAAAAAGTGAAATACAGTTAAGATTGCCACTGTAGTAAAAGGCAGCAATCAGGGAGAGAAATATTAAGTAAATATTTCAACAGGAGAGCTGGTTAACACTCCAGATTTCAAAGTGTAAACAACAACAGTTATTTTGCTATTGTCAAAACAAGCAATAAAAATATGACAAAATAAGACAAGGCCAAGGGACACTTCAGACACAATCTAAACCCATTGATGGAGTATAATCTTTGAAAATTCACCAAGTAGAAGATTTACTTCAGGTTAAAATTCCAAATTTAATGATCCTATGCAGAATTATAACTAGATAAATTGAGAAATTACACTAAGGGAACAGCTCCGCAGGGCTTTGTTCATCTGTAAGTCATTTCTCAGAGATTTTAGACTAACCCATAAAATAGAATTAGCCAAAACACTCGGATTGGTACTATATTTACAACAAATCTACTAGTACACTTCCCCATCCAAACTAAAGAACCAGGGAACAGCTTGGTGGTGGTCTCATTAGAACCTCCCAACTGACCATCCTTGTCATATCCATCTACGGCCATCGTCCTCCACTACCTCCAATCCTTCTGGACTACCTCTGCTCCTTCATCACTAACCTCAGAGCCCCCATATTCTGCAATCACCTCTGACTCCCTCGATGGTCACCACCCCCTCAAATCAATATATTACCTATGCCTCCCTAAGTACAGAACCCCGAAGGCCTCCAGACAGCTCCAACGTCCGCTAGTGCACTCCCACCCCTGCGGCAATTCACTTGCTTGCCCTGCAAGTCTACCTTTGGGCCTATCCCTCCTTTCTGTTTCTGGGTTATAGCCCATCATTCTGCTAACCCCATAACCCGACTCATCGGTAATATTCAGTCAGCTAACATTTAACCCCATTAGCTCCACTCTGCTTGGTCCTGCCATTCACAGGCCTGCCCTTGCTGTAACTATATATACATAACTTGTAGATAGGTTACACCCTAGTGATAAAATCGACTAGAGTTAATCCCCCTTTAGTTCTCGCTGCCAGTAAGTAAATTAGGGCACAGACGTGTAACTAGGCACAGCACTCCTGGTCTGAGTTGAGGCCAAAGCCCTCTGCCATGGAGACATTTCCTTTGTCTCACACCCGGTCTCTAACAGTCCTTCATTCTCTCCTTCAACGGTCCCTTTTTTTTTCAAAAATTCTTTCAGCACATGTCTCGATTCTGATGGTCCGGAATCTCCACAGTGTTGGTGCTGGCAGCTGAGGACATGGTGGCTGAGGACGTTTTGGTACCTCCAAACATGCATTTTCATTTGTTTGGTCAAGTTGCTGTGCTTCCATTGTTGCCTCCCTCTGCCATGGACACTGCCCCAAGGTAAGCAATGTTTTCAATCAGCCAGTGGGTATGATTGCTGGAGTCACATTTCCATTTGGCTGGTACATTCACATTTGTTCCTGGATGGGGAACATGGAAGTTGTTGAAATGTCAGTTGCAATCATCAAAATGCAGTCAGACTTGCATTTTTTCCTGATTCCACAGTGCCCATATGAGCTGAAGTTATGGCCCCACAGCTGAATCTAAGCATGCACCTTGGCACTATAAGTACTCACGTTCAAACCAAATTCTCAACTGGAACTGTTAGCTATGGTTGTTACTTGGCCCATGAAGTGGGCAGTAGCAAGTCAGGCATTGGAGGGCTGCATGTCTTCCATCGGAATGCCCACATTTTTTACCATTGAAGTGTCCAAAATCATGACTGGACCATCTACTACATCTGGACCTTCATTGATGATGAGCAAGGAACTGGACACATAAGTCATGGAGTCCTCTTGAGCGTTATCTTTCATTGTTGATTGCACATAGACAGACATCATGATCTCCTGAATGTTCTGGCCTGTCAGGGCATACACCCTGACCTAGCCCACACCCGGCTGTTGCACTTCCCACATGTGCCCTGTGCCGGATGCTCCATGTGGCTGGATGCCCCAGGCCCCGGGCCTCAGGTCTCATGTGACTTCCAGATATCTCCAGAAGTTTTCGATATATTGTGGCCACTGTGGGAAGATGAGACGTTAACTTCCTCCTCATCTTCTTACCCACAGTAGGTTGTGCCCTGGATAGGGCTGGTTACACCTGAGACTGTGGACCATAGGGGAGGGTCATGGGGACCTGGGAGTCGTCCCCTGACATGGCCCCAACAGGCCTGTCAGGGACTCATCTGGGGTTGAGGAGGCCTGGGTGTAGTGCCCAGTGCTGAGAACCTGGCAGGGTGTGGATCGGGCATGCGTACTGACAGGCCCAATGTGGGACAGTAGTCCCTGCCACTTAGACTGAAGTGGAAAGATGTTATTATTATTAAAAGGGGAATGCTATACTACTTACCTGAAGTGGAAAGATGAGAAGAAGGCTACTTCTTCAGTTCCCACTTCAGGTATGTTTATATATACATGCAGCTTGGGTCACATGACAAATGCCATGTCACCCTCACACACAGCCATAACCACCTGGGTGTCTCCATGGGAGATCCTGAGGGCATCTGGTGCAAGCATGTGTGCTGGGCACAGCGGGAAGTCACCCAGGTGCCTGGGCTGGGTGTGTCATGGGCATGCTGCGGGTGGGTCAATGGTACATTGATACAAAGGAAGGTCATCCATGTAAAATAAAGAGAAAATAAAGAGGAAGTAAAATAGGAAGAAAGTGAGGAGACAGAGATGAGGAGAGGGAAAGGAAAAGGGGGAGGAGGGGTGGATAGCAGGGTACTGGGTCAGGTGGGGCTGGGTGGAGCTGGGTCAGGCAGGTGTGCCCTGACAGGGGCACAAAGTCACAGAAAGGGTCTCCTTTTATACTCCTTAGGTTGCCTTCCTTTTTCACACTCTACCTTGTATTTACAGGATTTATTTACAGTGTATTTTCCTCAAACTGAATAAAAAATGAATTTTTCACAGTATAGTTCTACTGCGCTCAGCTGCACTGAACTGCAGCCCTGCTACAGTCAGACTGCACCTAGAATTCTCATTGTCCTTCCTTGCCTAAGCTATTTTAATGTTTAATTAGAACTTGACTGCACCGCATTTGTCACAGTTTTGATTTCAAATTCTACTTGTTTACCATTAAGTTTGCTATGACTCAGTCATTCTGAATTCAGACTGCACATTACTGCATGTATGGCTGTGCTATGACTTTCAGCTGATTTATCCTATTTTTATCCAGTGACATTTAGTAGAAATGTGATTTGAAATGTTAAACGAAATGTAATTAAGAATTGAACAAATGAATGTGTTAGAGTTCTCCACTTTATTGCTATATTTTTCCCTATTTTTCCCACCATGGTCTGTCATAGTTTTGTGGTTTTTTGTAGTTTTTTGTCCATTTCCCCTGGTTCCCATTCATATTCTTGCATCCCCTTCACACCATAATTCTCCCTGAACTTGGGATTGCCTTGGATAAGCCACTCTGCCATAAGACTGCATGACGATGGCTTATTAAACTCGGATACCAGATATCTTTGCTGAAGAAGGGGGTTTATATGGATGGGCATGAGCAGGACGATGTGGTCAAATACCGGAACGAGGTATTTTTGCCAGGGATGAAAGAACTCGAACCATGCATGACTTACAATGGAAGTTCCTTGGAGTGCAAGGAGCCAGTGCTGAAGGAGGGAGAGAGATGCATCATTCCCATCTGGCATGATGAGAGCTGTTTTCACACGAACAAGTTCAGGAGGAGTGTGTGGTGAGCACGGATCCAAATCTCATTAGGATGAGCTCTAATCCACACTATAGGCTGAAAGAGGGGCAGTCTATCTTGCAGAAAAAGGGCCATTGTAAGGAAGGGATCCCAGTTACATTATTCCTTTATTATTTCTTGTTGTACCTCCTGTATTTACTTATGTATTGCCCGGAGTTGAGTGAAGGGTCTTCACTCTTCTCCTCATCATGTCGAAATACTAAGTTCTATACAACCTAGCTTTCGACTGTCTTGAGAACTGAAGAGGCACCAAGGTCGGCACCTACACCGGCCTTACAGCCATGGATGCTTGATTCATGTGTTGGATTTCATTAATGAGGAGACTGGTTGGCTTGTTATTCACAATGAGGATGGAAGCATCTCCGAAGGGAATGATGCCTGGAAGATAATTTATCCAGGGACTAACGGTGACCCATGGTGGGACACTAAGCAACTTCTGGAGCAAATTTGCACACAAGCCATCCCAGTCTTTGAACGTGCCCACCCAAATTGTCAAGCACTATTCATTTTCAATCAGTCTTCTGCCCATGCATCCCTTGGCCCCAAAGCTTCAAATGCCTTTGACATGAATCGGTCAAATGGTGGGAAGCAGTGCAAGCAACACAATACAGTAATCCCCAATGATTACACTATTCTGGGTGTCACAGCAACCCCAGTCAATGGTCACCAACCTAGGTGAACCCAAAGGGCTTGAGACAGTTTTGACTGAGAGATGGTTCAATACACATGGCAAGAAGGCAAAGTGCAAGCCACTCTATCCATTTGAGAACAGGGATTGCTGCCTTGCCCATATTCTCAGCCACCAATCAGATTTCACAAATCAGGTCTCAATGCTGGAGGAGTTGATCACCAGGGTGGGTCATCTTTGCATTTTCCTTCCAAAATTTCACTGTGAATTGAATCCAATAGAAATGGTATGTTTGTAATTTTATATCATCAAAATAAGTATTACTGAGTCTGGCGCTTGCACAGTATTGGGGTTATGTGGGGGTCAGCAAATGAAGGGAGATGTCTGAGGTAATATTGTAACCACATGATACAAAAAAAATGGCTGTCATCCTCATGCAAAAACAATTCCTCCTGACAATACAACCATGTTTCAAGTATTGCCATAATTATTACTTAATAATGTGTCAGGGCACACCCGCCTGACCCGGCTCCACCCGGCCCAACCTGACCCGGTACCCCGCTGTCCACCCTTCCTTACCTCCTCCCCCTTTCCCTTCCTCCCTCCTCATTCTTCCCTCCTCACTTTCTCCCTATCTTACTTCTTCTTTATTCTCTCTTTATTCTACATGGACGACTTTCTTTGTATCAATGTACCATTGACCCATCTGCAGCACACCCACCATGTACCCAGACCGGGCACCTCAGGCGACTTCCCGCTGTGCCCAGTACGCGCTGAAGGAGCGGAGCTGGATCACCTTATGTAACCAGTTTCCTACGTCCAATAACGATATTAGAGTTTGTGCTGATTTGCGTACTGACCGTGTTTTGGTTGCCAAATATATAATTGTTCACTGTCTAAACAACAATAAACACCCCCCAACGATCTCACCTGACGTATAGATCGTCTATGGATAAAATTCTATATTGACTTTACTATGATTTCTAGTCAATATTACACCTAGATATACCACTTTTCAGTAGGACGTGATTTTCCTGATAATTTACTGAAGGAAAACTACTAATAAAATAATTCTGCAATAAATGTTACTCAATACAGGAGTGACCAAACTGCTCTTTCTATTGCTTAGAGTGCATGCTAGTTATCTAGCAGGTTCAGGATCGCTCACTTTTCTCCTGTGGTGTGATAACCAAGTATTGCTGAGAGATTATTCAATTAAGAAGTCCCTCCACCAAATTCTCACTAATTCTCACTATGACACTTTTGTTCAGCTGTGTCTAACTGACCCTAACTCACGCTTAGAGTGATGTGTTAGTTTTATATTAGCTAACAACTAATATTTGCTTTTATCTTTTGGAGCGAACAAACCAACCACTGGTGAGGAGAATTAAACTTTTATTTCTACCTGAGGTTTGAGAGGGGGCAGAAGCAGCGGCCTTTTATGCTTTTCAGAGGCCTCTCTACTCCCACACCTCGCACTAGTTACATGTGCTACATTTGTATTATAGATAGTTCTAGAATGATATAGGGGCTTGGGCTGTGTAAGCTTAATAATGGACTTAGGACATGACTCAGCAATAAGTAATTCATTTCTTTGTCTTTTGGGCCGATCTTAGCGGGATCTTGTAGCGCTGGAGCTATGCTCTACACCGCCTTAATTACGAACGGTTATCTTTAGAAATGACTCGGCTATAAAGGAACTTTCTAGACTGTTCTCTAATTGACCCCTTTTTGTGAAGCTGCATCATTACTAATGTTCTAGAGCCTTCCCAATTAATTAACTGATCCGCGGACTTCTGAATCACTTCATGCTTATGATCCGAAATCCAGATCATCAATCATTCCTTTGTTCCGATTTATTTGAGCTTAAAATCAAAAAGTTTTGATGAATCATGGGAAAATATACAAGATCCGGTTTTTTAGCATTTTCTCCTCTTCTGATGCGATCAAAAACTGTCCGCCCGCGCCGGGGAATACTCTATCATATGGTATTCGGTCCGCCAGACTTCCGGGCGCCAATATATTTCCCTTGAGTCACATTACTTTTTGTAAGAATTAGCAAATAAATATATATGAATTATAAGGTGTTTCACCGTTTGAGCAATATCTCCGTCAGTTTTGAAGCTTTTAGAATGAAACAAAACCGTGGATAAAGTTAAGAAACAGTCCTTTCAGATGGTAAAAAGATTACAGTCAAAAGTTTACTGGTTCCCGAGATATTCACATTTCTTTCCCAATGTTCCTTCTTATTCTGCCGTCTATGTGCTATTTTCTTGTTGTAGGGATATATTCTTTGAATATTACACCTATGCCAGGTTCTAGGCATGATTGTAGTAGATTAAATCTCATGCTACATGGGTGTAGATAATTTATAATGATCTTCTAATGTCTGTCCAGTCTCATAAAGATCATGAGATCTGTTAAACGTCTGAACTTGTCACCTGTTCGTTGACTATTCTGATAGATCATTGTTTTATTCTTTGAATATTATTTCTCCTACAGCGCACCTGCACCGGATGCCCTCAGGATCTCCCACAGAGATACCCAGGTGGTCACGGCTGTGTGCGAGGGTGATGTGGCACCCGTCATGTGATCTAAGCCGCATGTATATAAACGAACCTGAAGTGGGAACCAAAGAAGTAGCCTTCTTCTCAACTTTCCACTTCAGGTAAGTAGTACAATATCCCTCCTTTAATGATAATAACAACTTTCCACTTCAGTCTAAGTGGCCAGGGACCACTGTCCCGCATCAGGCCTGTCAGTATGCATGCCCGATCTGCCCCCTGCCAGGCTCTCAGCCCCGGACACCACACCCGGGCCCCCTCGACCCCGGACAAGTCCCTGACAGCAGAAGAAGGCTTCAACCTCATCTCCCCTGCCATGGTGACAGAAGAACAGTACGATGACCTCCTAGCCCGGTTCCAGGAACTGCAGGCTATTGTGGAGAACCAAGTCCTTAACCATCCCCCACCTGCTCCTGCATCTGCACCCACGCCCACCCCTGCACCCGCTCCCGCACCCGCCCCCAGACCCAAGCCACCTAAGGTCGCCCCCCCCACACCCTTCGCGGGAGCCAGCGAGGATCTGACCATTTCAAAGCTGAATGTGGAATCTACTTCCACATCCGCGCGTCCGAGTTCCCCACCGCCCTCTCCCAGATTCTCTTTGTGTTGTCCTACATGAAGGGAGGACCGGCAGGAGCATGGGCAACGCAATGCACGATCTCGCTGCTGATGGCAGGGTCCCCAGCACTCACCATGGACGAGTTCAACACGGAACTCAATGACATGTTCCAGGACCCAAATCGGGAAGCCACCGCCTGGCAGAAGCTGGCGGCCCTCCGACAGGGAAGCGACTCCATGGACAAGGTCATCCAGGAGTTCGAGATATTAGGGCCTGCCTCAAGACTGGGTGATGTAGGGCTGGTTGACCGCTTCGAGCAAGCGATCAATGCCCGGCTCCACAAGAGCATTTACCATCTCCACCCTATGCCCACCACCTGGGCTGAATGGAAACGCGAGGCCACCCTCCTTGACAACCAGTGGCGACGTTTCCAAGCCACCCAGCCACGAGCACCCCCACCTAGACCCCCCACTCCCACCAACCAGGCCCCCTCCAGCCACCACCCCCCCCTACGCTGAAGGAGAGAACGAAGGAAGGTCAGTTGGGAGGTTCAAACAAGACCACCACCAAGCTGTTCCCTGGTTCTTTAGTTAGGATGGGGAAGTGTACTAGTGTTATTTATTGTAAATATAGTACCAATCCGAGTGTTTTGGCTAATTCTATTTTTATGGGTTAGTTTTAAAGTTCCTGGGAATTGACTTACAGATAAACCGAGCCCTGCGGAGCTGTTTCTTTATTGAAATTTCTTAATTTGTCTAGGTGTAATTCTGTGTAGCGTTGTTTTAATTTGGATTTAATCTTCTACTTGGTGAAGTTTCAAAGATTCTAATCAGTTAATGGATTTGGATTGTGTCTGGAGTGTCCCTTGAGTTTGTTTTATGTTTGTCTTATTTTATTGCTTGTTTTAACAGTAGCAAAATAACTGTTTTGTGTTTACACTTTGAAATCTGGAGTGTTAACCAGCTCTCCTGTTGAAATATCTACTTAATATTTCTCTCCTTTATTGCTGCCTTTTACTACAGTGGCAATCTTAACTGTATATCACTTTTTCGCACTGGAGTGACAACCAGAAATGCTTGAGAAAAATAATACTCTATTTTCTTACTTCTCTAAGGGGGGCAAAAAGTCGCAGAAAGGGTCTCCCTTTTATACTCCTTGGGTCGCCTTCCTTTTTCACGCTCTACCTTCTATTTACAGGATTTATTTACAGTGTATTTTTCTCAAACTGAATAAAAATGAAATTTTCATGCTATAGTTCTACTGCGCTTTTGCTGCGCTGAACTGCGGTTCTACTGCGGTCAGACTGCGCCTAGAATTCTTATTGTCCTCCCTTGCCTAAGCTATTTTAATGGTTAATTGGAACTTGGCTGCGCTGCATTTGCCGCAGTTACCTATTTCAAATTCCCTATATATACCATTAAATTTGCTATGACTCGATGATTCTGAATTCAAACTTCGCATTACTATGCATACGGCTGTGCTGAGACCTTCAGCTGATTTATTCCATTTTTATTTAGTGACATTTAGTTAAAATGAGACTGAAATGGTAAATGAGTGAATTATTCAGGTTTAAAACTGAAAGAAAAAGTTGCTAGTAATCAAGAATTACTCAAACGAATGTGTTATAGCTCTCCTCCTCATTAGAATATCGTTCCCTAAAATTCCCGCCATGGTCCGTCGTAGTTTAGTGGTTTTCGTGAATTTCGTTCATATTCCCTGATTCCCCTTTGTATTATCACATCCTAATCCTCCATATGTATTGTTCGTTGTTATAGTAGGTCGTCCTTGAAGATTTCATA